AGGCGTCCTTCTGCTGCCCAAGTCTTGCACTACTGCCAGAGCCTTTGTCCATTGTCCATCCAGAGGGAAACGCGCCCCGCACTTGTCAATGAGCTGGCTGAGTTCCTTCTCTTCCAGCATCAACAAGAACGTGTTGGATACAAGCTGCAGTAGTTGGGCGCTGGATAAGCTGTGGTGCCGCAGGTAGTTCAGCATGATAATCTGGAAGCGCTCGATCGATGCTGCTGTGGACGACTGGGACATAGGCCGCCCGTCGGTCGTGTCTTCTTCGATCTCAATGTCAAAGTCCGACGCGTTCACGCTGGCTCGTCGTAGCTTCCGGGCCTTGCGCTCATTGTCGTTCTTCTCGAGGTCGCTCAAGAAGAAAAACCCCATGTCGGGGCTCAGCAGCTTCAAGAAGAACACGTCCTTGGGACTAGGACGCGGCACCATCTCACCTCCCAATGTCTTCTCGTCCGGTAGATCTCCGACCCTGCTAGAGCACGTAGCGAGGTACAAGCGGAAGAGCGACTCGCCCGCATTAGGCAGCGCGTCCACGACAAGCTCCAGCTGATCCATGCCTTCAGTGAAGGTCAAGTATGCAAAAAGCACATCTTCCCGTGAAGATCGAAGTGCTCGGAACGAGTCGGCGTCTACCAACCCCACGATAGCACAGAGGATCATGTCTCGGCCGCTGGAGCTGAAACTTGCGGCGTTGTGAGTGATAGCGCGGCAGATCTGCGCACTCTAGCGAGCGGAACATGTACAGGGTAGTCTGGATCATTGATCCCCATTTCTTTCCGTCTCAATAACAACAAACCTTGTTGTTCTTGCAAGGCATTCACAAGCTGATCCAGCTTGGCTGAGTTGGTGGCGTAGACCTTTGCGATCCCCGCTTGGACGTGAGCGAATGGAACGTACTGGAAGATTCGAGCCACATCATCCACGCTAACTGCTCGCAGCACAGTCGGATCCGTGATACTCCGACTTGCTAGAAGCGTCTTCTTCAGCTCGCGAACGCGCTCAAAGTACGGAGTGCGGGAGTAAAAACTCTGCACGAGCGCGAACATCGCGTCCGGCGAGGTTGCGTCCGTGACTATGGACGACAATGAGGCGTCTGGAAGGTAGACGGCGCCTTGGATCCCCGCCACCATTTTCTCCAACAACGTTCGGTAGCACCCAACGATGCCTAGCATCTTCAGCAGCGTGGCACAGCACGCTGCTGCTTCCACGGCATTCGGTCGGCCGACTTGCTCCACATATCCCTCCTGCACCTCGTCCAGCTTGACCTCAGTGAACATAGCGAACGAAGCGAAGTTGCCACGCTCCACTTCGTACGACCGGATCCACTCTTCAACCGTCTCGCCCGATGCCAGGTGGGCGTTCAACCGCTTCAACTGGATCACTTCATCATCCGAGTCTTCGAGAGCTCCTTTTGGTGCACGAGGTGAATCAGGATAACGGGATGGCGACGATGGAACAACTGGAAGATGCCGCTGCTGCTGGTAGTGTCGTGGATAGCGCGGAGACTCGCTCTCTAGAGGGTGAAGCCGCTCTCGAGCGTTCTTCTTGCGCTTAAAATTCTGTCGTAAGACACCACATGTGTGAGCTTCAACGAGTAAGAACTTTAGATCATGGAGGGATAATACACGTACCTTGATAGAACTCACGAGTCCGCTGCCGCTACCAAGTGTGCTCGAATCGCCAACAGCTTCAGCAGATCTCGGACTCAATGTATTCGGCGACACCGGAATATACACGCGCGGACTGGAACTCGATGCTGTAGGTGATGCTGCAGAAATCGCCGACACCTTGTCGGAGCGTGACAGTCCTGTACTGCCGTTCATGCCTCTCCCCCTCTCCTCAATGCAAACCTGTTCAACATAGCGCGCGCTCCAATGACTTGACGTCGAGAGCGCACGGCCGCTCTGCTTGTTAATTCACGGGCGTTTTAGAGCGTCACCACCTCAGCATAATTAGCACATCGACTCCGGACATTGGACAGGTATGGTACGTGTTAGGTCGGGTGGTGCAGTTCACCTACGATTTCCAGACCCCGTTAAACCTTGGCCGATCGATCGCCTCCTCAAATCTGTTCAATCAACGAAGCGTACGTATCACGCAGCACTTGTTCCAGAAGCTGTCGCTGCTCTTGGGGCTTTCCAGTCGCCTCTGCTGCCCTCCCTCTTGCTGCTGCCCGAGCCACTCTGCAGCTGTCTCTGCAGCTTCAAGAGGAAATGCACCAGCTCCGCGCTCGGGTCGGCGTTCTGCGAGCATGCGTGCACGATCCACGGCAACACTTCGCCCAGCAGGTTGACGTATCCAGCACTGTTCTCGCCCGAGCTTCCGACGCCGTTGCGAAACTTGTTCCAAACCACGCGCAGCGCCTGCTGCATCGCCGCGCTTTGCTTGCTACCGGAGAGATGCGCGGCACACAACGAGAGCACCACGCGCAGTCGGAAGCGCCACTTGGGGAGGTCCTTCTCAGCACCTTCAGCCACGAACCCCATCAGCGGCTTCGTCCCCGGTGTAGCTGAGCGAGACGACGAAGAACCCGACGAGTTGGACGAAGTTGGTACCATCCAGTGGTCCCACATGAGCTTCATCGCCGGCACATGAGCCACTAACGTTGGTACCAGCGTAACATCGTACCCCTGCGTGTGTATCGCCAGCAACAATCGAGGGGGCGACGGTGAAGACACCTCAGCATCTGCAGTCAGCAGCTCATTGACGATGGTGCAAAGCAGAGCACGACTCTCCTCAGCCACTTCGTTGTCGCTGGACTCGGAGCTCAGCGGTTGCAATCGCTTCAGAATGCCGTGCGCCAGCAAGCAATCCTGGAGGGGCTGGTGCTGCTGCACACTGACAGAGGTAGATGCAGCCGCAGACATGCCCTCTACAGGCACCAAGCTCGGGTCACACTTGGTCACGTGGACGTTCGCCGCTGCTCGCACGTCGCGCACAAGTCCAAGTAGCACGCGCAGCAACGCTGGCTGGCGGAACACTCCCTCGTGGGCGTGCGGAATGGCTCCTCCAGTACCTGCATGTAGGTCAGTAGCTGCAATCTGCCTTGGTTTGTCTGCACTTTTTGTTGGCGCCAGAGTGCCTCCCGGAAGCAGAGCGCATGAACCAACCGCATCAATAGCGAGATACTCGCAGCTTGCTCGCGACGAGCCCGAGTCTCATAGAGCGAGGCTAGTTGCGCGCAGAATGCAGCCACTTGTCGACACGATGCTGTCGACTTTTGCGAGGCTTAGTACTGCGTACGGAAGGAAGCCATCTACCAGTACCTGCAACTCGCGCATGGCAACTTCAATTGGTGCTGACTGCAGCTCCAGTAGCAACTCAAGAAGATTACCACTCAGTTTCAAAATGAAAGCACGATTGGCGTCAAAATGCGCCCTTCAAATCAATTTTCAACTTTTTCGCGTAAAAATTGTACCACTTGAACTGCTGAAATCTCCTCTTCCAATTGATGTGCTAGTTTACCTGAACCGTTTACAGTGAACGCGAAGCCAACTTCTAGGGCACGACGCAAAAACTCGGTGTTGTTGGCTCTCACGGGTGTTTCTTTTGAGAGCTAGCTCTGCTGTACCACAAGATCGCCATCGGCACGCTGGTCTTGACGGCGCTGCATGGATTGGCGTACATGCTGGCTCATGATAATAGTGAGGAGGAGTATGAAAGCAGCAGGGCGTTCACTGGTATCGTCGCTTTAGTGCTACGGTCGTGCTCTTCCTGTTCTCGCTCGGCCCGATCCGCCGCAAGTTCTTTGAGTTCTTCGTGCGCGTGCACTGGGTCCTCTTCATCGTGGCGATCTCATCCACGGGGCTGATCTGGAACTGGTTGGGGTCGTACCGTGGCTCATTGATATGCTCTTCCGTTTGGCTTATCGCCCGAGAATCTACGCCAGGGGCTCCCTTCTCAACGGGAAGAAGACTGCTGATAACAGCACGACGAATAGCCCGGCTAACTTCGTCACGGGGAAGCGTCTGGGTGTCATTGCGCGCGGCCAGCTCTCGGTGTCACTTTGCGTTGTTCTCGGGCGGCATTGGCGTCACGCCCATGCGTTCGATCGTCAACTGGCTGCACACGATGTCAACACCCAAGGACGTCCGGGTATCGAGCGCGTGCACTTCGTATGGTCCGTGCGCGACCGCGACACTATCGAGGCAATGATTGGCAACAAGGTACTCAAGCCCGGATCCAGCTCCTACTTCCCTTCCCGCACGACCTCATCGCGGCCCATGGTGGGGCATTCAGTGAAGGCAGATCTCGCTGGTGAATGGCATTCACCAGCGAGATCTACCTCACTCGCGGCGAGCGCGACTTGGAGGGGTCCTGGGCGGACCAACAGCTCGAGAGCTGCCTGCGCTATAACTGCCGCCCGGACGTTGCGGCTACGCTGCGCAGCCTCGGCGAGCAGGACAAGCAAAGCGGCAAGCAGCGCGTTGCTGTGCTGGTCTGCGGGCCGTACGCGATGGTGCGAGATGTGATTGCCACCAGCATGGCGCTTGGCAGGGAGATGAATGTGCACTTCGACGTGCACAGCGAGCTGTTCGAGTTCAAAGGAAGCTTCGAGAGGGCGTTAAGTAGGGCTGACAACGTTTTGGTCTAAAACTGTCTCAAACTATTATAAACAAAACGAAAACTGGCTCGTAAGTTTTTCAGTTTAGCGAAACAGGCGCAGACTGACCGCAAACTGTTTCCATACTTTATTCAAGAGAGAGAGTTTTGGCTCTCATGATTTGCTTCGCGGAACCAGCTGTTTGTTTGACCTCCTCTTCTCGTGCTCCAAATTAGTTGTACCACAATGACAGTTTTACTATGAGAGTGCCCTACTTTTTGAGCTGAAGGTGCTCAATGACCAGCCTAATGCTGCTTCGTCGACATCCGGCACCTGCAGTACAGCCGCGGCATCTGAGCATCGCTGACATGTTACGTGCTCGGTAACACTGTACGCCCCATTGGGCTGCCGAACGCCGTTACGTATTGAAGCAGCAGAGAGAATAGAGAGCGATAAGACGGTATCCCTGCAGTGCCTGCACTTCTGCATCGTACGGGGTGCAACCTTTCGTGAGGGGATGGGTACGATCTTCTAAACCGCCAAATTCGATACCTTTGTCCAAGTACGAACTTGGTTACGCATCCCATTATGTTGATACTAGCGTTAATATTCCTGGTAGTGCTACTCTGTAGTACGAGAAGCCCAATAGGGATTAATTCGAGGCTTCAAATATGTGGTCCACAGAAAAAGTAGGTACTGTACCAATACAAATTTCAAGTGTATAGGTCTTATTGATATTTTGCATCGAAAACCCAAATCTACTTATTTACACAGGTTTTATTACGAAATATAGCAGGTGGAGTTGGCGGAGCGGAAGATTGGGATGTTCGTGGTACTGCAATGGTGGCGGTAGAGCCGTTGTAGTTCGTATCGGGGATTGTTGTACGTTGAGATTGTTTTCGTCGGCCCAGGGGCTGATCGCGTTGGATGAGTGAAAGTCCATTCTCAACCGGCTCATGCGGCCGCATGCGTCGAAATACGGGCGTTTGATTGGCTAACTTGCCGTGCGGCCGCATGCGTCGGGGAGCAAAAAAAGACGCTCGTGCGTTCGACGCATGCGGCCAAGTTGCCGCACAGCGAGGGTGCATGCCTACAAGTCGCGTACTTGTCCAGCTTCTCCATTCCCACTAGCGTTGTCTTATCGTCGCGATCCTTCTCGATAGACTGAGCCTGGTTGTACTTGACCAAACGCTCAGCATGGCACGGAGCGCCCTTCTTAACACCGGCGGCCACACTCCTCCAGGTCAGCAATGAACATGTCTAGCTAGACTTCTTCTCCACCGTCACTGCCTCAATCGACGCCGTGTTGCTGGCGATCTGGTTCACCTTCAGCACCCTTCTTAACACCGGCGGCCACACTCCTCCAGGTCAGCAATGAACATGTCTAGCCAGACTTCTTCTCCACCGTCACTGCCTCAATCGACGCCGTGTTGCTGGCGATCTGGTTCACCTTCAGCAGGAAAGCGTCGCAAGCCTTCTGCTCGATGGGATTCGTCACCGCCAGGTCGTCGCCCACGATCTGCGCGACCTTGCAAACCCCGTGGGCGCTTGGCCGGGCGGCATCAAGTCCGTCTCGAACGTGCAGATGTCGGACTTCAGCACGCTGTGGCTCGCAAAAGTAAGGCTGTGGAGCCTTGACGTGGACGAACTACAAGGCGGCACGTGCTGGCCCAAGAGCACCAAGGGCAATACGGCCTCGAACACGGCAGGAGGACAGGAGCACGGTGGGGATGTAGACGACCAGTTGCCAGACTGGGGGAGCTTTTGGAGATGACGGAGGTCCCAATGGCCATGGTCGTGCTGCTGAGCCGCTCCGTCTTGAGCCGTCGCCGCTTCTGCTTCCACGACGAGCTGCTGCTGTTGCTCTTGCTGCTCTTGCTACTGCGCGTGCTGACGGTGGACTCGGCGTCACTGGTGTTTTGACTTGCACAGCCTACCTCACGGCTTGAACACCGTGTTCTGGCAGGATCATTTGGTCCGCCGCATTCACCTCCCAGTTCAGCGACGAGCAGTCTATTGCGACAAAGCAGCAACTGCTCGATACTCTCACCAACGTGATTGCCTCCAATGGCTACGTACACTGCATCGCGTCTTCGTGCCGAGCTAAGCCCAGCGCGGCGTCGCTGACCGAAATTGTCGAATACGCAAGACTCAGCAGCTCTGCAGTGCCCTCGCGGGTGGCAGCTATACAATAACCACAACAATGCAACAACAAGGGTCAGGCCAGCATCAACTTTAACACAACAATTCAATGAGAAGAAGAAGTGCACGCACTCTTCAGAGCCTCGATCAGTCCTTTGCAGCGACGGAGACCAGTCGTAGTTCATTGCGGCATATTATACGCTGCGCAGCCAGGTTCCTGTCCGCATAATCCGCAAGCAATCGTCAGCAACTCCAACGCTGCCACAGCGCCTTGCCGATCTCCCACACAGCACCGGAGCTCCTCGGAGTTCTCCGCGCGATGCGCTTCCACAGGAACCGCGCGTCATTCCTGTACGAAGAAAGACTACATGTAGGATTTTTTCAGTCTGCCAGTCCGCCATTTTGTAGCCATGTTGCTCACGCACATTTTCTTCGCCAGCAGCACAATGAGCAGGTAGCTTGCATAGAAGTCCGGGGTCAGCGCGGCGGCGAGCGGCACGGTCGTCGCAGCGGCCGCCACGAGCTCCAGCTCCTCCGACAGCGTCTTGAGTGGCTGCGCCAGCTGCTGCTGCGCGTCCTCGCGGTCGCTGGCGGCGGCGTGGGCGGCCAGCAAAGCTCCTCGCGCTGCGTCCACAGCGTCAGCACCAGGTTCTCCACTCTCCCGAGCCTGGTGATGTCCCTAAGCTCCTGTTGCGCTCGTTTTGCTCGAAAGCAGCAGCTATGGCAACCGCGCACCGGCAGCCTGAAAAAAAAAGGATTCTGCTGTGCGCCAGAGAGGCTCCGAGGGTTTTTTGGCGACTGTGGCTAAGCAATCGCCTGCAGCGTCAAAGTCAATAGATTACACAACCAAAAAAGTGTTAGTTCCACAATAATCTATCGATAGGTCTCATCTCTCACCAATGAACAGTGAAGTGATCTGAAACGTTGAAGACCTCCAACTACTGCAGCACTTCTCACAGCGCGCCAGGTCGTTGGGTAATGCATGTTGCTGTGTCTTAACGCCAGAAACTATGTGCAAAAAAGAAAATAATTAAAAAAAAGTTAAGCAACCTTCTTGGGGTCAAAGTAACTTTTAGCGGTCGGCACCTTGTCCTCGCTCTAGCAACGAGAAGACTGGGGCACGCATCGACTTCAGTACGTCTAGAACGCGCTCGATAGGCGAGCGCAGCTCACCGTCTTCTTTTTTCTACTGCAGGTCGCGGAATCGGCAAATTCAGGAATGAATGGTGGTGTTGGGTGCTTTTTAAGT